TACACCGCTTCCTGACTAACACAAATTTTGGTCCTGGAAACACTCGACTTATTTCCCAGATACTCTATCCTACTCAGCGTTAGTTAGATTTAAATCATATTGTTCAGTCATGAAACGATTTTTGGAACTCACGAATTCCAATTCAGGTGAATTCAACTGAGATATATACAAACTTGGAATATACCTAACCAAAGATTCATGCATCTTGTATAAACGGTCATTTTTCATGCGATGGATGGAACTAAAATCAAACTTTTTAAACTAGCCAGCCATATGTGGAAATTAAAGGATAAAAATTAAAAAAAAAGAACGGATTGTAAACTGGAAATTTTTTAAAAGCTAAACATTACAAAAATCATAGTAATATTTGCAACCTTTGTCAACAAGAAAAGTTATTAAAGACGGGAATTATGACCCATTGTATACTTTTGAGTTCATATGAAATGGGATGAAAATAAAGTGTGTATATTTCATTTAATACCGCACAGGTACATTTTCAATAAACTTGCTTCTCTCCTTCTTCTCAACTTCTACCACACCTCATGTTGCGCGTTTATTTATTTATTCATTTTGAAATATTATAGGTTTCATAAAATTCCCTTTTAAAAAAAATTATAAATAAAAAAAGCGTTAGATAAAAAAATTGACCGAAATCGCCTGAGCATAGCGAAGGGTTGAAACCAACATAACGGAATCGGCTGATCACCTAATTTTATACCCCCCATATATATATATATATATATATATATATATATATATATATATATATATATATATATATATATATATATATATATATTTAAAGATATTATTGTAGGTACAAAATTTAATGATCAAAAATAAAAGTATAAAACTTACGAGACATATTAAAAACGGGCGAAGCAACCGGTTTCGCTCCCGCTCTTCAAAAAAAAAAAAAAATTATGCAAAAAGAACTAGAGACAAATGACAGCGAGTCCCAACAAACACTCACGTTGTTTACACAAAGAAGGCTTACGGGGCCCGATGTAAAGTGCCTCCAGAACCTTTAGATGAAATAAGAAGTGAGACCGGGACAACACGGTGAACCAGTCATCACTAAATTTGGCTGCACAATCTGTTCTTTATATATATATATATATATATATATATATATATATATATGTATGTATGTATGTATAGGTGTGTGTTTGAGTGTAACGATGTTTTGAGAAATTTATATTAATGCACTGCGATTAAATGTCATTGAACTTTTTTCGGTGTGACTTCATTATTTAAGTGTTTCTTACCTTGTACATAAATTTTTGGCTCTTCATGCAAATGACATTTTGACCCCGTTTGTCTTCTCACCGTTTACGTTCAATCTGGCCTACATTTAGAAAGAAAGACTTTACATGATAGTCTTACAATCATATTTAAAAAATAATAATGTTTACTCCATTCATATGATAAATGATTGTATAATATCTTTAAAAAACGTGCACATAATTTATACATTTACCAAATCAAGGTGCGGAATAAAATACACACACAAAGTATTTTTAAAAATAATTTTAACTCGTCATGACAAGAGTCACTTTCAGCGCTTCAGTCATCCTGTTTTTTTGCTACCACAACTTTATAGCGTGAAACCACATATATAGTGTGAATTCTGGTTTTCAAATTTCTGTGTTTCCAAGAAAATAGGTATTATTAAGAATCATGAAAGTTAGGAAATCGGGATTGAATCGTATTGATATTTTTTTATTGCCTTCTAATAGAGCTGTAATGTTGATTCGTATGGATCTATATTTAAATATTGAACTGTCTGTGTGTATTGATCTACATTTATTCATAAATACAGATACTAATATTCATATATTTATGTGTGTGAATATATCATCATCATCATCATCACCATCATCATCAATCCCCCGACTGCTTCAATCGTCCGAGTTGCGGAGGGGACGGGAGATAGGAGCAGAAGAAATAGGCTTTGATTCTTCTTCCTCATGATAAGATCAGTGTGATTTCGGATAGTTGGCGGCGCCCATCTCTTCTCCAATGGCTTGACCAAGAACCGAAGACCACACACTTTGTTTAAACCCGAAACTCGGCCCTCAGATTTAGACTTCAGAGTAGTTTTTTTCTAGACAGTTTGCCACCCAAATTTAAAGTATCCGTTTTGTCTGGATATTTGCAATTATCCTTGTGTTTGGGGGGGGCGAGAAGGCAGAACAGATGGATTCAAACCTTTCTTAATGGTATTTGCGCATAAGTGAATTTATTGAACTCGACTGGAATTCGAACTCTGCTATCAGATTCCTCAATCCGAGCCACTAACCGTCGTTAATAGCTGGAGTGATGTATAATGTTAAATATATGAGGATATTAGAAACATTCCTATCTAAACGAAATGGAACAATAAAAACTTTGTAATATTAAACACACGGTTCTGTTCACTGTGCAGCCATAGATAGTCCCACAAAATTTTACGGTTTTAATCGGCGTGGAGCTTGTGTCTTACTTTTTTAGTTTTAAGTTTACATAATATACGGGTATTAAGTTTATACGCACCAATTCGGAAATGATTGTTAGTAATGTATTTCTTCTCACCACGGGAATGTTTAGCACATTCATTCCTCATTTGATTGTCCAATATCACGATCCTGTAACAGGTTACCCATTGAGCCCTGCGTTTCTGAACAATTTTAACCCTTCTGCCTGAGCACCTGAGTCAAAATTTGCAAATAATTGGTATGAAATGTTTCACAGTAGATATAAAAATAGTTACAAGTGTATACCCACCGTTCAACCGGTGGCCGGACATTAAGACGTTAAAGCGGTGGTCAGTTCCCAAAGGGTTAAAAACTATGTTTCTTAAAAATAATTCGCTTTTTACAAAAAGCGCTTATATATAATAATATCAAGAATTAACGCACATATTGTTATATACCGTACCTATGAACACTAATGGGTAGGTTCCAATTCTCATATATACGTTGGACACTATTGTAAGTTGGGGTAATATGCTCTCTAAATAGTCCACCATTAGCAGTGGTTTACCCACTTCACGTTGTTGGTGAATATTGAATTTTGTTGATGTTTTAAAGATTACCATTTCATTTCCAACCTCCGTTTTCGTTATTCCTTATTCATTAACCTTTTCTAGGTTACAAAGCATATATACATTTTTAATTTTACAAATATTTACCTGGGTATTTATGCCTGACTAGATCAATAAGTCCGAAGGCTAATGATATAAAAATCATTTTTTTTTTACATATAAATTATTATATCTATGTCTATCTATCTATCTATCTCTCTCTCTCTCTCTCTCTCTCTATATATATATATATATATATATATATATATATATATATATATATATATATATATATATATATATATAAACACCTATGATTAAATAAGGATCAAGCTGGAAAAACTTTATAAATTCTCCATGTTTCGTTATTTGTTTTGTTTAGGTTCATTAAAATTATTTGGGAAGAAAAATAATGTGCTTTTGTCTCCACTTTTTGTTTTTATTGTTTGAGTCGATGTCACATTTTTATTTTATCGTGTTAGTATATATGGATATATTTGGCGGTGGGGCGTCACGTACTTACCTCAGTGCGGCCGTGTGGGTATGTATTTATTTATTAAAATGCTAGCATAATTTAAGCGTGCCTTAAAACATTGGATATATTTGTGTATTCTAAATGCATAATAATGACGAATACATATATGTATGTGTGTGCGTGCATTAATGTATTGCTATAATCTCTATATATATTGGGTACACGCGTTAGAGTAAGCTCCCATTTTATATTAAAGAGTAAAGATAATGTCTATCGGCCAATAGATTGAAAGTTTTAATAAGGAAAATGATTACCTCCATAAGAATTTCCTCTGTTATTTAATTTGATCTCTACGCTGGTAGATATTAATTTCAATGTTTAAAAAACAGGGATACCTACTGAAACACATGTAGCCACTTTATGTAACGATTATAGCAATAAATAATATTGGATTTAAAGAGAAACAAACGCCATCATAATGTCTTATTTTCATAGTATCTAACCACTGCCAAATAATGTTAAAGCCCCAGGAAAGGTCATGTACTTCAATATGACCCTCCATTTAAAGATATATTATTCAATTCAGAGATTTATCTCATAGACTGGCTTGCAACGATATCATGCGTTTCCATTGCCATTAGCGCGAAATGATGGTAACAGAATGAACCGTATTTCGAAATTAACTCTCCCTTTTGTGTATGAGTGTGTGTGCGCGCGTGTGTGTGTGTATGTCCTTGAATCAAATGTAGAAAAAATTCTCTATCAGAGCAATAACACTCACATTTGCTAAAAGAACTTTATCAATATTTCCTGACTTTGAAATTGTTTATACTGAAATAAAAGTGCTGCTATAGATCGAGGAATAATAAGGTAATTTCATTAGACATGCATCGATTTCGATTTTCTTTAAGTGTCTCATTATTGTACTTTACTGATAGACAAAATTAACATCATTATTGGATTTCCTGTGTGGATCGATCTTTCTGCAGCAGACGAGTGTTACATAAAATTATTAATACACGAAAGATCCGTGAACAATTCACGGTTTTCCCATTTTAATATTCTGTTGAGTCTTACTTCTTAAGTTAATATTTGACTAAGATCATGGCGAGTTCTGCGACAAGGAATTATACGTAGAAATTCCGTTATCGTATCGTTAAATGTTTGAGCTTCACGACTATAAGAAAATGTGTAATAATAATCATAAATAGGAATGCTGGTCGTTATTTTAAGAAGTGGGTACAAATGAAAAGATTTGAAATTGATATTTTTCCCCATTTCATTGAAACAGACATCTATGATTTCTTTATTTTTTTCTTTCATCATATATTTCTTTTTTCTTTCGGCATTTCTTTCTTTTTTATCTTTCTTTTATTCATTTTCTCGCTGAACATAATTAGCGTCTCTGATATGTTTCCTTTAATAAAACGAAATAGTTCATTATTTATGAGATATTGGCAGGAGACGTTAAACACTTCTTTCTTTCTTTCTTTCTTTCTTGCTTCTTCCTTACTTTCCTTCCTTCCTTCTTTCTTTATTTCTGTCTGTCTGTCTGTCTGTCTGTCTTTCTTTCTTTTTTTCCTTTCTTTCTTTCTTTCTTTCTTTCTTCTCTTCTCTTCTCCCTCTCACCGAAAACATGTAGTATCTCGTTTTCTACGCGACCAAAACGGAATAGTCCATTATTTATGAGGTATTGGCAGGACATAACGGTCGTGCAAAATATTTAAGTGTGGAAAAAGCACATTTATAATAGGATCTTTAGTTTGGACATAACTGGGTTGCTGGCTATTGCTTCCTTTTGTAAAACAATGTTAAAATCTGTTTATGTCGACATTTAACAGCTTTATTTAAAAGCTCAAAGGCTTTCACATAAAATGGAATACAAATCGTAAGATTAGGAAAGTGACAGTGACTTTAATATAGTTATATTTCGTGAGTACATGTGTTTGCGTAGGCATTAAACATAGCGTTCTGACGAAATCTTTCTCACTAACAACAGTGGCGGTTAAACAGAACGAAATGAGCGTAAAAATACGCAAATATGCATAGTAGAAAAACGAAGACAAAGGCTAATAGGCGCGCATTAGTACACATGAAAAAAAAAGGGTCTCCCCTAATTTTCTTACTACGTATCCTTGGTTCGTTATAGCTAAAGCGATACACAGACTGACACCCTGGAGGAGGAGACACGTTTGGCACATGTATAACTTAAAGTATTTTCAGAACCCGTTCACTCTTCTTATCCTTCTCACTCTATTCCCATTATATTCCTCTTCCCCTTCCTCATCCTACTCCTTCCCACTTCCTTGTTCCCAGCCTCCTTTATAACCTCCTAAAAGAACACCCTTTTTCCCCTACTTTGCTACAAGAAAAGGGGGACTGTCTGCCTACCTGCCTGACTGTCAGTCTCTCTATTGAATAACCAGTAATTTGATGCGTTTACCGCGATCTCATTAAAACTCATTTTCAACAGAGCAAAACTGCTCAGTGATTGGCCGGTCGGGCAAGAAGAAATCTCATTAATGCATACCACGTGGCTTCGAGTTGTCTGCGAATAACTTTTTGCCTTTTGTTTTGTATTTTTGCTTTGCTATTTTTATTTATTTTGTTTTACTTCTTATGAGATTTGGTTAAGGCATTGTCCGTGTGTGAATTTAACTAGAAGTGCTTTGGGTTTCGCCTGCATCTTTTGCCAATTTGTGCTCGCTGATATCATAAGGCTTCTAATCTTTCAAAAGTGAATAATTCAAAAAAGGAAAAGGGAGTTAAAAAAAAAAAAAGTTATAAATCATAATTTTCTTCCCGAAGAAATTACACATTTTGTTTGCTATTGCCTATTACATGACTTTCAATATATATATCGGTATCAAGCTGTAAACACTTATATATATATATATATATATATATATATATATATATATATATATATATATATATATAACGTCATCCACAGACAGACTGTATATATATATAATCAAGGAAGGACAGTGAAAGCAACAAAGAAAATTTATGTTGAAAAAAAGGGAAATATTTAAAAAAAAACAAAAAATCAGAAACGCTTGAAAAGGAATTTTTTTTTTTTTTTTTAGTCACAGTATAATATTGACTATCCTGGTCTAAACTTAAAAATATTGTTTTTAAGAATTTTTTGACAGAGAAGAGGTTACAGTTCAAACGGAAAGAAAGTCATGAGGAAGAAATCACTTAAAAATTAAACAGACATTAACAAATTTAAAACGAAATCTATCGGAACGGCATCAAAAGCATCAACAACGCCAGGAATGAAGGGAAGAATTTCACTGAAGGTAGATTTTTTCTGATATCATTATTTCCCGTTTGCATACAAGTCATACTTCATCTTTATATTCCCGCGCTAAATCTGACGCTGTATGTAAATGTCAATAGGGATGTGTGTATATGCATTGGTATGTCTGTATAGTCATGTGTTAAATGTATTCATGCGAATAATCAATATTAGCTTGTAGTTACTGTTTCAAAATTTAATGTCAGCATTTCCCATTAACTAATATCTATCTATCTATCTATCTATCTATCTATCTATCTATCTATCTATCACACTGTTCATTATCTATGTATCTATCTATCACACTGTCCATTATCTATGTATCTATCTATCTATCTATCACACTGTTCATTATCTGTGTATCTATCTATCACACTGTCCATTATCTATCTATCTATCTATCACACTGTCCATTATCTATCTATCTATCACACTGTCCATTATCTATCTATCTATCTATCTATCTATCTATCTATCTATCTATCACACTGTCCATTATCTATCTATCTATCTATCTATCTATCTATCTATCTATCTATCTATCACACTGTCCATTTATCTATCTATCTATCTATCTATCTATCTATCACACTGTCCATTATCTATCTATCTATCTATCTATCTATCTATCTATCTATCACTCTGTCCATTATCTATCTATCTATCTATCTATCTATCACACTGTCCATTATCTATCTATCTATCTATCTATCTATCTATCTATCTATCTATCACACTGTCCATTATCTATCTATCTATCTATCTATCTATCACACTGTCCATTATCTATCTATCTATCTATCTATCTATCTATCTATCACACTGTCCATTATCTATCTATCTATCTATCTATCTATCTATCTATCTATCTATCACACTGTCCATTATCTATCTATCTATCTATCTCACTGTCCATTATCTATCTATCTATCTATCTATCTATCTATCTATCTATCTATCTATCTATCTATCTATCACACTGTTCATTATCTATGTATCTATCTATCACACTGTCCATTATCTATGTATCTATCTATCTATCTATCTATCACACTGTTCATTATCTATGTATCTATCTATCACACTGTCCATTATCTATCTATCTATCTATCTATCTATCTATCTATCTATCTATCTATCTATCTATCTATCTATCTATCACTCCTTATTATCTACAACACACTTCGTTATTTATCACATTGTTCATTACCTATCTATCACACTGTTAATTTTCTGTGACACTCTGATATATATATATATATATATATATATATATATATAAATATATATATATACACACACACACACACACACACATATATATATATATATATATATATATATATATATATATATATATATATATATACATAACCTCACTCTGTTCGTTATCTATCTGTCTATATATCTATCTATCAGGCTCTGTTCGTAATCTCTCTACCTATCCCTCGCATACTATTCATTATCTTTCAGGATCGGTTCATTATCTATTATACTATATTCATTTATATTATATTATACTATATTCATTATCTATCTATCTATCTATCTATCTATCTATCACACTCTGTTAATTATCTATCTCTATCTATCGCTATCTTATTTGATTACTATCACTGTGGCTAACTTGCTAAGTGTTTTCATTATTTTTGTGCATACTCACTCACTATTTGTCTGTCTTTGATATTGCTTTGTTCTTATTCTGAAAATTATAAAAGAATAATTGAATAGTGTTCGTATATTTGTCTACATATCATATATAGGCGGAAGTATTTTCTGTCGTTTTAAAAGTGTAGTCGTAATAGTTTTCTTGTCTTTCCAATCATTAACACTTAATGAAACCGTCATGTGGGAAAGCGTAAAGTGTGAGCGAGTAAGAGACAGATATGAATAGACAGATCTATATGGTGAAAAATAATTTTAGATATCGTAATGCTAGAGATTATCGTAATGCAATTTATAGGTTTGAATTTGAAATATCTATCGCTTGTGAAAATGTCAGTAAATAAATATATTTAGGTGTCATCATTAATAAATTCAGGATGTTAAATTTTTAACTAATTCCTGCAAAAAAGAATTGTTGTAAATATACTTTTAAAAAGTGTACTTAAAAATTGAATTATTTTTTTATCTGGAAGATGTTTTCAAATATGTTGAACCTTTTGATATGCAGATTAAAGTTTAATGTTTGAAATTTGTACGATTTTGAGGACCTTTCTCTCTTTTTGTTTATTTTATTACTACTAGCGAAATAGGTAACAACAACAGAATATTAATTTAACTAAATCCGAAATTACAATAAAAGCATATCAGCATGTTTCCTTTCCTCCTGTCTTTTCAAATTAAGATATTTTGCAAGTAATCGACGCAAGACCACCCCCAAATCACAATAACACATGACAGATTCTACATATTTCTATACATCTCTTAATGACAGACGCAAGTAATTTTCTGTGACGATATGTGAAACATAAAAATAGATTCGACCGAATTCCCGCAGTTTATATAAGAAAGAAAAAAATACAACGTTTTTCTGCAGCAACTTAGTTCAAAATTACGGAAAGTTGATGAAATTTCGATACAAAAATAATAAGACACTTAATGAAATACAGGTATTTTAACTGATCTTTGAATGGCACATGTTTTGTATACAATGTTGTTAATATATTTACATATATTACTATCGTGCGTAAGGCGCAGAGTGGTTTTACACCTACTGTAAAAGCGTAGCATTTGTTTTATGTCAACTACTAATTTAATGGTGTTTTTTAAAAAGCTCACATTTACCTAATCCGAAGCATAACAGAGAAATGTAGACACCAACTGTTCAGATACAACTAATGAACAAGGACATTTTAATTGTTTGTGTTTTAAAAAAACTTTGTTATATATATATATATATATATATATATATATATATATATATATATATATATATATATATATATATATATATGGGTGTGTGTGTGTTATTGCATAGAAAAGTAGATACGCATATAGTGATATATACATACATATACGCATATATATATATATATATATATATATATATATATATATATATATATGTACACACACATATACACACACACACATAGAATGGACATATGCTTATTACATATTACAAAAAGACGTTCATAAAATTCATTGATTCTAATCTTTATTCTTTCACCAAAGGTTATTTTGTTCTTACGTAATACAATGAAAGGTAATGACAATCAAAGAAAAAGAAAAACAAACATATTTGATTTATCGTTTTAATATTAGACATGCCTAACCGCAAAATAACCGATTAATCAGCTGTATATTTCCTTAAACACGACAAACTTACATACTGCAAACCATTTTTCTTTCTGTCTCTCTGTCTATCTCTCTTCCTGTATGTTTTTCTCCCTATCTATATGTCTCTTTCTGTCTATCAGCTTATTTGTCTTTTAGTCTGTGTATCTTTCTGTCTATATTTCTATATGTAGATCTATCTATCTATCTATCTATCTATATATATATATATATATTTAACTTTCTGCTTTTCTTTCTGTCTTTCTACCTATCTATCTATTTATGTCTCTGTGTTAGTCTCTCTGTCTGTATATGTATTTTTCTGTCTGTTTTTCTGTCTTTCTATCTGTCTTTATATCTGTCTATCTTACTGTCTAGATATATATCTCTGTTGTTGTGTATGTGCCTGCCTACCTGCTTATCTATCTATCTATTTATCTATCTATATATATATATATATATATATCTTTGTCTCACTGTCTGTCTGTTTGTCTATCTATCTATCTATCTATCTCTGTTTTCATATGCGTACATTCAACTGAAATTTGTGTTTGATATTCAGGTCCGTTTTAAACTATCGTTTTCTTGTTTTTTTTACATGATTTTCTTTGTTACAGGGACTATTGTTGTATCTTATCAGTAAATCATCCAACAAATTTATTTTATTGTTTTCTTTCAATAATTCTCTTGAATATTAATTTCTGTTTAATAACAATAAAGTCAAGATTATTTAAGTAAACTGTCTTAGTGTTTATGTAAGACTGAATATCATATAAGACTTCAAGAAATTTCCAACGAGAACTTCCTCGAAAATAAAGGAGATCGAGAAAAACAATTTACCGAAGTGGCATTCAGCTTATTTCCATACACACCTTTCTGACGTTCACCAATCGAGGAATTTGACAGAATTATACTGACAAGATTGTCACGAATCTGGTGGCATGTGCAAGAAATAGTTTGAATTTAATCGAAGCGATGGGTTGGTCAGCGAGTGGTGGAAACGCAGCATCCGGAGACTTCCCGTTCCTCTTACAACGTTGAAAATAGCCAGTTATTTCTTTCAGAATATTGTCACTGATATAACAGCAGACATAATCACCATTTCAGTTATTGTTGGATTATCCTCAAAATATGACTAACGTGGGGTTGAACATCAAAAAGAAATTTAGTTCAATCATCACAATGCTTGTGTACTTGTGCTAAAAGCCATTGCCTTTAGTAAAATAACAGTTTGCAAAATCAGTGTTGATATCTCATGTAAATTTTGAATGGATTCGTTGCCTTTATGTGTTATATACACGATATTTATATTGTATATTATACACTAGATTTATATATTTTCTATTGAGAATAAAAACAATAAGTGCGGGCGGAAAAGGGTTGAAAGTTTTGTGCGACACCATGAACATCTTCTCGCTACTGTCAAACGGAAAACATAGTGTGGTTTGACTCATTACAAGACATGACAGACTATGCAAGACCATTATCCAAGGCACCGTTAAAGGTGGACGTAGGTGAGGGCGCCAGCGCAAAAACTCGTTGGGCAATGCCAAAAAATGAACAGGTATGACTGTACCAGATTTGCTGATGGCTGTCGTTAATAGACCGTTGAGGAAAAGAGTTAGAATGGCTTCTGCATTCGGATTCGCCCTACGATTACAAAAGTCAAGTGGATGATGATGATGTCATATAATATACCACAGTGTTCATATATATATATATATATATATATATATATATATATATATATATAATATCAAAAGTATTCTTAAGGAATCAGGCAATATACACACACAGGCACACACACACACACACATATATATATATATATATATATATATATATATAAATTCCCAAGAGGATAGAATCCAGGTAGAACTCAATGTCCAGGTTTAAATGCACCTTACACGTGTCTGAGTACTGATCAAGGCCATACCTATAATAGATCAGGTGATCATACAACTGGGGTCTCTTACTGGTGGCGATATGAATTTTCTTAGATATCCAATATAGCATTTGCAAATAGAGAGAAAACTTCACATGTGAGTTTAGTTTGATTCTTCTGTGTTTTACATATAAAAAAGAACCACAATGTGCTAATTTGATATATTTGACGATTATTGACAAATTCTTATAAATGAAGTGAGAGGTAACTTTAAATAAACAAATGCATAATATTTCAAGGAATGATTTTTTTGTTTCCGTGTGGGATTTCTTTTAGAGAATTTGTACTTGTGTCAAAAGATCATGACTTGTATATCGTTGTGTAAAATGGATCTACCAAGCACAGAAAATACTTTATTCCAATGTGATAACATGTGTTTTAATAACCAAAGATTTATAATGTTCTCATTCTGATTGCTTTCAACACAACATCTTGGCTATAGTCTTCATTTAAGATCATAAAATAATCCAAAAACCAAGTTCAAGCTAAAATTTCAGCATTCAAGTCACCAGTGTGTTCTTGTAGTCGATTAAACTAAACAAATCCACGGAAATTAAAGATGGAATTTTAAAAAATAAACAAATTTACTGAAATGGAAGATGAAATGCGATGATACAATGCCCATAGATTAAACAGGTTTAGTTAAAAATCCATATATCATCCTATAAAATGGACAGTGTTCAAAGCAATGAGTTTCGATAACCGGAATGTTGAATCCAGTTAAACTTTTAAATCGCTACGATCTATTTATTTCAAAAAACGTCTATACTCATGATAATAAAAATCAGTATCATTGAATATTTCCTCCTCTGTAAGATGATCTTTTCGTCTGATATATCCTGCGATATAAAAAAGCGACATTTTAATATCTTTAGGGATACAAGCTTCTAGGTCTGGCACGTGACCAAATGTTTGATATGGCAGTTCATCCAACAGATATCCATTATGGCCAGAACAATGGCTATACACTCTAACATCAACTTTCAAATGAAGACGTAATTTTTTTTTAATATGAAATTTCTGAATAACGTTTTGTATTGTAATAAAATAAGTACTGCCAGAAACTTGTCTTAATTTACCAAATTCATTTTTTATGATAGTCGGTGCTAAATTCTTCCAGAATGACAAAATTTAACCCACTATCAAGTAAATGTCTGCAAACATCTATTAATCTATTATATGTATTCTTAATAGCCATGTCACTTAGGAAGGATTTTATTCTCTTTTCTTGGTTTCCCTTGATTTGTTTTGCCATACTTCCAAAATATACAAGTAATGTCAAACTTCCAACTCTTCGATCTGATACAACACTTTTCAGTGGACGATTTGTCTTGACACATGCATAAATATCTTTTACATTCACTATTTTCCAAAATTTCAAAACGTCTTCGATGAAAGTAATAGATTCACTTGTATCATCATCCTGTAATAATGGATAAGTTTTCACTGTAGTTACAAAT